AAATACTTGTATGATAATTCTTACCTATAGGAACATCAATTATCATCAATATAGTTACCTGCAACAAAAAATAACGTTTAATAAGAATAGTCTGAAATAAAAGTATATCAATATCCCAGAACCCATTGTACGGCAAAATGCCCATCATGGTTCTTATACGAGGGATGTCTTTTAAATTTTGCATATGGAAATAAAACAACATGGTAGGTAGTTTTAAATGACTTTATTGTTTTTCGAAGTATTCTCCACGAAGATTAATACACATCTGCATGTGCTCGAATCAATTTTCGAAGCACTTATTCCACTCGTTTGCTGGCAGATCCAAAACGGCATTTTTGAATGCATGAACTGCTCCTTCTGGTGACGGGAACCTTTGACCACGCAGTCTGTTTTTAATTTTCGGGAAAGTAAAGAAATCGTTAGGACTTAGATCGAGACTATATGGAGGATGGTCCAATAATTCCACGTTTTCTTCTGTTAAATACTGTCTTGTTTTTTGGGCTGTGTGCGACCTTGCATTGTCTTGGTGGAGGATGATTCTTCCTTCGGGGTTGATTTTTCGAAGCTCGGTGATGACTTTTGGCAAACCAATGGTGGTATACCAATCCGCAGTAACAGTTCTTTGCTCATTAAGAGGAATTGTTGCAATATGACCCGCTTTTGACACAAATGTCGCGACCATCTTGTTTGAAACATATCGTTTATTTTCTGGTTCATAATAGTAAATCCACGATTCATCACCACTAACAATGCTGTACACATTTTTTGAGTTTCCGGAATTGAGACGGTCATGCGTTTTTTGACACCAATTAACCTTGGCTGCTTTCTGCTCTTCAGTCAACAGGTGGGGTATCCAACGAGAAACTAATTTTCTTACTCCTAATTCTTCATGTAAAATTTTTTGAATTGAGGTCTTTGATATCTTTAAGGACGCCTCAATCTCGCTATATGTCACATGTCTATCTTCAATGATGAGTTTGCGCACAGCATCGACGTTTTCCTGGGTGACTGCCGTTTTTGGTGCACCCAGCCTGGAATCGTCGCCAAGACTCACCCGTCCACGCTTGAATTCTCCATACCAGCGGGAAATTGTCGACTGATGTGGCGCTTCGTTGCCGAAAACAGACAGTAACTCAACAAGGCATTCTTGTTGCGATAATTGTCTCTGAAGGTTGTAATAAATTATGGCGCGACAATGTTCTCGGTTGAGTTGTTGAGTTCCATTTTTCTAATGACTTGGTGGCACTTAAAAATTCACTGTACATATTGTTGTGAAACTTTGAATTTAAGTTTACTAAAGAGTGAGGTTAAGATTCAGTACTGACGTTCGATCCGCGCGGCCTACTATGTTTCTATATGCAAAACTTAAAAGACATCCCTCGTATTAACGAATACAGGCAAGTTTATCTAAACATTTGGTGTTAACAATATTACGCTTGTGAAATTTTTCATGATTCGAGTGAAAACATAGATTCTATAGATTTGTATTGTGAAATATCCCAAAACAATGAATATTTCAAAAAGAGTAAAAATTCGAATAGGAAATAATAATGAGTACAGAGACTCCATGAACAGTGGACGCCCAGTAGAACATCCAAAATTGCATCAGTTATGATACATATGATGGGCGTTTCGTGGTAAATTACAGGCTAACTTCATCAAGCTATCAAAAGATTTATACAGAAATCTCGGAGATGTAATTTCGTAAATTGTTAAAGTTTATTATACAGTTAACTTGCTTCATCTGCTATTTAAAATCATCATGAAATATACCATTTTGTTTGAAGAGAGTGGTCAAGTCGACCATCTATCTTTGATGTCATCGCTCATTCTGTAACTTTACATGTGTACATACAGTTGCTAATAATTGCGCCCACACATGAATGATTTATGATTTTCAATCCAATATGCTCGATGACATAACTTCTAATTTTTCACCTTTATGATAGGTACTTAATAAAATACGACTGAAGTGTTATTTGAATGGTTTCCGTTTTCAGTTAATTATAACAGACGAGAGAGGTCGAAAAACGTTCGTTTTAGTTTGCCTTTGCGAAAAAAAATTAGAAGTGTTTCTAGAAATTAAAGAAAAAAAAATTATATTATTGAGAAGCTATTCTTCTTCTTCCAGTGGTATGTGGAGAAGAGATCCTAGTGTTTTCAGAAGCATTTTCTTAAAAACAGTGAGTATATCAACCGTCAGTAACCAGTCAAAGTATCACATGGATTCTAACCAATTCTAACTTTGTTAGAATCTGGGTAAGCAGAGGTGGCGATACCCTTACCTACATGCATTTAGCCAAGATGAAAGGCCATAAGGGTCGTTCTCACAGACAATGACGTATAGAAGCTGTATCAAAGTTCAAGTTGTTTTTGGGCTTGGAAGAAATTTTCTATTAAATTTGATCTAAAGAGTTTGCATCGTTTAAGAAATGACAGACATTTAGTGATACCGCGATTAAGCAGGCAAAAAGGTCTTGTTATCCTGATGAAATTCGTAGGGCTACAAATCTTGTCCATGAATTGAGAAACGCACTCCACGAATTCAGCAATGAGTAAAGTCACTCAAAAACGGAAAGCGAGGACAAGAGAACTCCCGCACATCCATGGCCTTGAAGCTAGTCTTCAGAACGGAGGATAGGGTCGAGGTTTTCGCTTACGCCACATGAAAAAACAGTTCTCTCCCAACTATGATCTTGATCTCGACGAGGAATAACACATCGTAAGATCCGTCAGGAGATATTCTACTGCCAACTTTTAGTAAACCCAAAATTATACTCTAGCAAAACGTGAATCAAAATATGTTTTTAGCTCACCTCAAAATTAATCCGTGTACCAAGTCAAAAAGCCTAGCTGTTTCCTCTTAAACTGAAAAAACACTTCTGTTTTTCTTTGCCATTTCCAACGACCAGTTGGGCAAGAAATACAATTAATTATTAATTGGGAAATTGGCAAAATTTTAGGCTTTAGTAAACTCTTTATATATACAGGGTGACTTCGAAGTTGAGTCATTTATTTTAACAGTGAGTAGATCTGATCAAAAGAAATGTTTTTTTCCTTTACCATTTTTCTGGTAAAATTAAAGTAACAAAGTTATAGCCCTTTGGAAGTTTGAGTACCGCCCTGCCTATTATATGCTCGTGTTTGGCGACAACGGATATAATCCGCCTGACCGGTTCATCGCATCGGAAACAAAAAAGCGAAAGAATTTGAAACGTTTATCACGATGTTTTTCGTCAGTCGATAAATCCTGAGTGAATAGTAGTGTGTTGCGTGGCTCAAACGAAATCAAAAATGGCACATGTTTACGAAAATGCTGAACTTGTGGACATGATTCTTATTTACGGGGGGGCAGTCTTTACAAAATGCTCCCGGATGCATCACGGATTTATGCGAATCGGTTTCCCAATCGAGTGCAACCAACCCCTCGTGCCTTTGTTAATGTAGTGCAAAGGGCTCGTGAATCAGGTGACTTAAGACCTCACAGGTGAGGGCATGCTGCTCCAAGACCGCACGATCAAATACAGGTCCGCACTGAAATACTTGTCGGAAGGATACTTTATTAAACAAGGTAACATTTTTTTTTTATTTTTTTTTTTATTTTTACACACATATTTTGGTTTATCTTCCTTCTACAATCATTATCTGAAAATTAATGACTCAACTTCAAAGTCACCCTGTATATATATATATATTTAAAAATGCATCAAAATGTCAATTGATTTATCGTCTAATGTTGTAGATATATGAAACTTTTTTCCGGGTATATTTGGATAACACTCTGTGTCTGAGAGATATGAGAATGTAGTAATCGTATTTATAATAAAGGTATTCCAGTATGCATGTAACGGACGCATGTTTCGTTGGAAAAAAGTCTTTAGGCTAAAAACAGATCAGTTGTCCTGTGGTTCCCACATCAAATTGTAGAAGGAACAGTCGTGAGGCCCAAAAGACACTAGATTCAAAAAATAAACGTTAGATTGATCCACTCCATTTTAGCACTTTTAATCGGAACGAAAGGAAGAATCAACTACCAGGCATTGAAATTATAGATACTTGTGTGTTCATATAATGCACACCACTCATATTGCCTCGTTGTACGAGAGTTTTATTTCTAATGGTGGTGCAACAATACAAAATCACGATGTCTCCTGGGTAGGCTCATCGTCCAGTCGGCAAGGTAGATTGCATTGTGGCGTAGTTGCTCCGTCCAGTAGAGGTCAGTCAGGAAAATTAGCTCTAAACAAGTGTTGAACATAAACGTGGTTGGAAACAGTGCTTTTTGCAGGTAGTCAAGTAAATTGAAAATGATTCGATGTTCGTTAAAGAATAAGCAATCTCTAATTAGATTTATATATTCTAAGAATTTATCAAGTAGAATTTTGTACTGCAAAAATCAACGATCTAATTTGATTGCTAAAATACATAAACAAGGAGCTCATCTTACACAAATCACATAATTTTTTTCTAGCTTGAGAGATATTTTACAAGAAATGGATTAAATTCATAGATCCGTTACTTCAAAAACGCCTTCTGATTGTTCAAATTTGTGCCCTAGTCCAAAATTGTGCGCCCGAGAAAATAAGTTTTTGCACCTAAACCAGGTGGGACACCCTGTATGCAGAATGTAATTATTTTCCAGTGGTAATAACAGGATACATATTGTCAGACATATGTAATTGTGTACAGAACTTTTTGGGTGCCATATTTTCAATAAAAAATAAGGATGGAAAACCGCATGATTCCATAGTACATTATTTAATTTTTTTAATCCATTTACTACCCTATAAAGCTTGCATCCAGCTCCTTTGATGGATATACCTCATAAGAACGTCAACAAGCGTTTAGACACACTCGTCTGCTCATTAGAAGGCCTAAAGTTGTATGTGAGGATGTCTAATTTGCATCCGCAAACGCAAGATGTACATTTTGAGGTAATGGGATCTCAGACTATTAATTATTCTTCAGTTTGAGATGTAAAGCCGCTGAGCCGTTGCATTATGGCATTGTTTCAAAGAAACTCCGTCAACCGGTCGCTGTGCAAGAACCGTTGCGAAGGCTCATCGTTGACCAAGTGACCTCTTCTTCGGATTATCTCCCGGAATGAAAGAGAGAACTGGAAAAGATTAAGAAACCTTCCTTACTAATGATACAAGTACATACGGCGTTTCATGTTTCTTGATTTCATTTAAAGATATGCCATGATGTCCGGCTAGAAAAGTGCAACACGTGTGGAATTACTGCGAAAGACAATATGTTACACGCACAGGATGTTTTATCACTGTCTACCTCAAACCAGATTACGTTAAAGTACCGCTAATTATAAATACCTCAGTTAGCGCCAAAATTCGTTTATAACGCATACTTTGTACAGCGGCATATACTGTGTCGGGGATACATTATCATCTAACAATGCTTGATAATTTCTTGGTCAAGTTCACAACTAATCATATTTATATATGGTTTCGTAATCTGAGTCTTGGTTTATTTACTTCCCTAATCAGTGGCACAATATACGCTACACTACAACATCTATGTTTTTTATCGAACTAACTCATATTTGTCACAAGAAAGAAAAATGGTACCAGTGGATTTTAATTTCGAAATCTTTCTTCGTGGTGACAAAGTTACTCTAACATAGTGGATGATTTGGAAAAATGTGGCTATATAAGACAAACGTACGTTGGTAATCTATTAGTAGCAAGATGAATAACTGATTCAATTAACAAATTTTGCAAAAAAATCTAAAATTAAAGCTTCTTGACCTACAATAACTTGGTATGCCACCAAACACCTTTGCTGAAGGTGGTCGTGAGCTCTTAGACAAGATAGCTGAAGCTGAATAAATGGGTATCAGGGATGGGAGGAAAAAATATTGGAATCAATATTTTACATTACATTACAAATAGAGAACAATGTAGCTGTTTTGCCTGGCGGGGGCTATATCGCCTATCTAAAGAACTATAGGTGTTGATGCCACATATTTTTTTATTAAGACGTCTCTGGATTATTGTATTTAAAATGATAGTAGCATCTTCATGTTTACAGAAAATGTTAATAACAGCCTGAAAATTAATATAAAAGCTTAATTGCCGCAATTATATTTGAACACGGTTATTAAATAGGCAGTGCTAAGGAATTTTTTCGACCACATGCCGTGAAAATGTAGTTCTACCGTCAATTCATTTTTCATGACTTAATTCAGTATTTCAACGTTTAACAGAAATTCCCTAAACTTCGTTCGAAAGGAAATAATAATAATTCAAACATACCTCACTAATGTTTTAAGTGCCACGAGGATATGTCGCAAAAAGTACAATTTACCTATACTTCGAAATTTCATTCATATTCTATCTATCTTTACAACAACAATAGTTACAAGGCATTCCGATTCCAGAATAAAAAGTAAATCATTCCAACCATATATGGGTTTAGACGCTATCAATCGGGAAGACGCTATATTATTGGTTTTTGCTTTTTTATTTGGAGGATTCCATTTAGAATAAAACAAGACCATACTATAATAAAACAATTTATTCGAATAGAATGAAATGTTTTTAGGTCAGTTTCAATGTATCTAGCAGCTTTATGTTTGATGACAATACTCCTGCTGTCTGTCGTCACCTGTCGTAAATCATTACTGGTGTAAGAGCGACACAAGAGATTCATCCGTATTAAAGTATGTACGTATATACTTAAACCTAATTTATTCCGCGTTAGAAGAAATATGAGGACCCGATCGTCGCTGCCTTTTGCATGTTGCTGCCAACCCAGGTATTTTTGAACAGGAGCGCCAGTTCCGGTTGGAGGATGGTTATTAGAAATGGTAATATATATATATATATATATATATATATATATACAGGGTGACTTTGAAGTTGAGTCATTAATTTTCAGATAATGATTGTAGAAGGGAGATAAACCAAAATATGTGTGTAAAAATAAAAAAAAAATTAAAAAAAAATGTTACCTTGTTTTATAAAGTATCCTCCCGACAAGTATTTCAGTGCGGACCTGTATTTGATCGTGCGGTCTTGGAGCACCGGCATGCCTGTGAGGTCTTAAGTCACCTGATTCACGAGCCCTTTGTACTACATTAACAAAGGCACGAGGGGTTGGTTGCACTCGATTGGGAAACTGATTCGCACAAATCTGTGATGCCGCGGCAGCATTTTGTAAAGACTAGATCACTAATATTGTGTATTGCTATCTATGATTTTCATATTTATGCATGTAAAACAAATAGTTGAAAATATTCTTTGTTCCGACACTTCATAAGAACGGCAGGTGTATCACGTAACTTGAAAAGTGACAATATGCCGATTTTTTTTTGACATTATGTTGGTTATTCTACAAGATGTACTTAGTTGTACGTGTTACCTAAACGTCATGAGGCTTGTTATCCATCTTTGGCTCTGATGTGATGTAAAATCTGCTTCTGAGATGGCATTACTGGAGGTCTAAGCTGTAAGTTGTATGTGTTGATGATAATTAAATTGGATTCTTGTTTCAAATACACTTAATTGAGATTCAAAGCTAGTTGCGCAATCACTTTTTCTTATCCATTCTGGAAATTACATATACAAATTTGCTGAATTTCAAAAATGAGAGAGATTAGAAATAATTATATCCACTGTCGAATTACAAGCCATATACATGCTAACAGTAATTACACACAACGCGGGCGCGGTGATGATTTCCCGTAATTCTCCTCAGTTTTTCGTAATTACGTAATTTATAACTTTGAACATAACCTCTCTTCAGGAAGCACAACATATAAATAACCCGTCATATTCGGCATATTCAGTAATGTTTTTCTCACATAGCAAATATCACTGATTTTATACACATGCAGGCCAATACACATAATCATCCAGATGCGATCTTGCTATTCAACCAACTTTATTCTCAGAGATAAAAACTACTGACACCGATCACTCAGCCTCACAAAACTATGCAACCAATAATGCGTAGTTTAGTTTAGTGGAAGAATCCATAGATGGACGTTCACAACGATCCTAGTGAGCAAACGTGGAATGACTATGTGCACCCTAAAAACTAACTAGTCTGCAAGTTGACATCCTATAGGTTTTTTGCTGACGTTTTGTAGTTTTTTACATGATACCCGTGCGGGGGGTAATCTAAGGTTACAAACAGAGAAAGATGTCAATGGCTGACGATGTTCACGTCAACAGATGTCAAAAATGTGAAAAATAGGTAAGTATCTATCAAATCTGCATTTTTCCCAATGTACCATATTTTTGAAATTTTGAACTTTGCGGGAGCAAAACTGGACATCACTGCCATAACAAGTTGCATTCGGTCGTTAAATGAAACTGTACAGAGTTCAAAAAGAACAAACAGCTAAGCTAACCTTGATCTTTAACGATACTGTAGTATCAATTGGTTTTGCTATCAACTGCTAAGGTCTGTTACCACAATTTCAATTGGTGGATTTTGCCCATACGCGAAATAAACTTAACCTAAAATCTGCAAGTGAGGACAAATTCCACAATAAACTGAGCAAACTGAAGTAAGGTGAGCGTATCTGAGATTGTGTGTAAAACGACGGCAACTATTGATTCACATGACAGACCAAATCAACTTACGCCAAACTTGAAGCATATATGCCGCAATTACCTCTCGGAACATAAAGTCCACATTTAGCTCTAAAACAATGTCCTCAGATCTCGGTTAGACAATCTCCGATATTCTAAAAATGAAGACGGTGTTGAAATTCTAATCCGAACAGTCAGTAAAGCCTCTGATGTGAAAACAAAATAAAATCGTGGAATCGTCGGCAATTCTAAGCATTCCTACTAGAACGGTGCTGGACCCATATTGTATTGTGGTATTTTTAACTTTTGAAAGCTGGATAAACCGGCTATCCACTCCAGATTTAACTTTTAAAAATATACCGGTTCAAATGGCGCGCAATACAGAGTGACTGTGCCGGTTAAAATGAGATTCATTAATAAAGTGACTGGTATAATTGATTCATGAGTTTTACATAGATTTTTGTACCAATGGGTTCTTAAGCCCGTATCGTCAGTCGTCCCTACAATTATAGGACGCGTTTATGGCCTCCTTGATTGTCATACTCCTTTCTCTCCTTCAAAAATTTCTAGATTGCACCTATTCTGTGTCAGCGTCAGCGCTCTCCTATTGTGAAGATATGTTTTCTTTTTAAGTTGTAGGAAATTTCAGGCTGATAAAACAAGATATAAATCAAAAGCATGCACAATTTGATGCAAATAGATATTTGTGACATAACCTCAAAATAGAGTGTTGACAGGGAAAAGTAGAAAACTATGACAATCAAGGAGGCCATAAAGGCGCCCTACAATTGTAGGGACGACTGACGATATGGGCCTTAGATGACATAATAAATGGTGCTTTAGTATTGTTTGTATTAAACACAAGTAACTGACTCAGGCAAAATGAAACCTAACTTTCCATATGGGCCTTAGACTGAAATGGCAATTTTTGTTGGATTTTAAGCAGTCAATGTTTTGGACTATTTGGTGATACAAAATTCGGCATGCAACTTAGGGCACTAGTATTCTAAGCGACCGATACTTTCAGACGTTAGTTCAATCTTCTTTTGTGGCGATCTTCAATCACCAAAACCTTGAAATTATATCATCCTAAGTGGATGCTAATTCGGCAAGGAGAGTAAATGTACGACATTATTTATGGCGACATATCCTCAAACAACCAGTACCGGTGGTCAGTAATTACCAACGTGGATGCCGTGAGTTTAGTCCGCCCTGTATATAAACAAAATGGGAAGTGTCGATTTTTTCTCATAAACCCCTACGTATGTTGTGTACTTTGACCTGTTCTTGTGATTTTTTTTTGACGTGTTTTACGATAGTTTTAATGCCTTGTATGTGTAGTTTGTGTTATCTACAATTCTTCTGCCGTGCCCTACATCAATGTAATGAGTAAATTGGCAATAAATATACTACATATTATTATTATTAATGGAAGCATTTCTAAACAGTGCAATAAATCAAAATATCTCATAGT